GATCCATATTAAAGTTTTTCATCTTCATCAGTAATGCTTCGAATTTCCTCCCTCTCCACAAGCAGGGTTGGGTCATCTCTAAAGTACGTTAATGATCCTTTTCTTAGTGCCGGGTCCATGTTCTTCGTATAGTTCTGCTTCTCGTGTTATTTGCTCGGAGTATAGATTGGCAAGTGTGGTGAGACCCCGCAGCAGCCCCTGGATCTGTTTCAGTGGTTAGCTCTTGGTCTATAAACAGATACCCTGTGAGCACAGGTAAGTGTTCTGGAGCGCTCATTCTTTGCACTGTTGTCTATCCTTTGTTGTTATCCACCCAGTCAGTAAAACACAGGTAAACATCTTCCTCGTGGTCTCTGCTTTTTGCCAAGATCTATCTGACTTCAGCAATGATATGTTTCATTTTACTTCATCTTTTGAATTCAGCTCGAACTTTTGGCAGTTCTCCGTCAGTGTACTAATGCAACCGTTTCTTAATGATTTTCAGCAAAAATTTACATGCTGTTTAATAACTTGCACCTTCCATTGGATCACTTTTCTATAGAATGGGGACAGATCTGGATCTCTTCCAGTCCCTTGGCCAGGTAGGTAGTTGGCTGTCTTACAGATCTCTTGGCATCGGCGAGTGAGTGCTTCCGGTTTGGCTCCACCTGTGGAAACACCCTTGTCTTTCACCGGTGTCTTCAGTGCAGTGTCTGCTCCTTCCTTTGGTACCATCAGTTCTTGATCATAAGCTACTTCTTAAAACGGTTCAACCTCGGCCAGTTCTTTGTGTGCAGTACCTCTATGTCTTGTGTTGCCTTTTGGTGTTGCTGCATCTTATACTGTTTCCCCGGGTTCTCTAGTTGTTAGATGGCCGTGCGGAGCGGAACGCTCACCTCCCTTCCATGGGTCCTTCGGGAATGCAGCTCGAGGTGTTTCTCAGTGCTTTCAGCTTGAGAGAAGCTGAGCCTGTTCTCCCATTTCAGTGTCCCCCCGCCCCCCAGGTCTCAGCCGACCCCATCACTTACTTCCATTTTCCAGCGTCTCTTCTGACACTCACTTTGGCCTTTCAGTGGCCTTCTGGGTGCCTCGTGTCTGATGCCTTTGATGTCATCCCTCAGCTTGTCTGGTCTTTGGTCTTCAGTGTTCAACTCATCAAGCCTTTTCCTGAGATGGTCCCTAAAATTCGGGTGGGATATAGACAAGACTGTAGTTTAGCTCTCACGGGCTTATTTTAAATGTCTTCATCGTCCACCTGGACTTACATGGGAACAGCTGAGGGGCTGGTCCACCGTGGGTCCGGGCGGATGAGACTGAGCTGCTTTCCATCTGAACTTTCCACAGGGGGCGGCATTTGGATTTCTGTGTATTCCAGCTTGCGGAGTCTGTGTGTACAGTGAGTTGTCCCGTTTATGTTGCTGAAAGAAGGTGTTTACAATGAGCAAGTCGATGGCCTTGCAAAATTCTGTCATGGGACTTCCAGTGTCGTTTCTGTCGCCAAGGCGGTGTTTTCCAACAAATGAGTCTCCTTTTTTCATTTCTTCCTTTCCCGTTCCAGTCAGTAGTAATTATCGGTGCCTCTCTCAGACATGATTGATTCATTTCAGACTACGGAAGCCAGTAAAACACGTCAATCTCTTCGTCTTTGGCATTAGTGGCTGATTTGTGACTTTGACTCATATTACATTAACTGGTCTTCCTGGTGGTGCAGGGTATTACCCTATTAGCCTGGTACTTTGGAAGAATGGACCTTGAAGTAGACGAAGAGAAAGGACGAGGTGGTCCACTTGTGGAAAGGGAGCCACGGAAAACCTTTTGGAGAGCAGCAGAATGCCGTCTGATCTGGACCAGAAGACGAGCCCCTCAGGTGACAGGGCGCTTGTGTCATTGCTAGGACAAAGGTGCCACGGGGATTATCCCTGTCTGCATCCATGTGAGAGGGGAGCATTTATGAACTGAGTCAACACTTCAGTGCACTGGTACCGATTTGCACTCTACCATCAGTGATAGCAAAGTGCCAGTCTGGCCTGCCCCTGCCAACACAGTGTGCTGGGTTTTAGGGTTTGTTTTTCCATAGGAAATTGATTTTATTGGAAAGCTCCAGAACAGAGCAGAGAGGAAGGGTCAACATTGTTGTTGACAGGACTACCGCTCGATGGTCACAGTAGCACTTTGGCTTTTCCGTGGGGACACTGCATTAGGGGAAGAGGTGCTTGCTGTGGCCACACAGCACTGGCTTTTGCAAACTAATCATTCCCATGCTGTGGAGGATAAGATGCCATCACGCCCTTGCGGGGTGGGTTTCGGGGTCCCCTCTGTGACGTGGTTTCTCGTGGACATCCCACACCTGGTTGGTGAGCCCCTTCTTTGTCGAGCTTAGAAACTGGCCCAGCTCTGCAGTCTGCTTTTCCACATGTTGGTCCCTTCCACGGATCAGTGACTGTTCACCGAACATCTGGCTAATCGAACCATAGCAGATAAGGAAATCAATGCATCTGTAGATTAGCTAAAGGCTGTGCAGAAAGTGAAGGTGCTGAGCCATTTTTAGCAACTGTTCTCTTTCCCATGCTGTAAAATACCTAACACTTAGGGGTTAGGCCGATGAGCTGAAAGGCTGAACCTGATTAGAAAACACCACCTGGAAAGCACAGAGTCTGGAAGAAGCAGAAACAATATTAATGAAGTTATTTGTCTTTCCATGCAAACAATGCATGCAGCCTGTCTCTCCGGAACAGAGACCATCTCTCTTCCTAATAATCTAAGTGCGACCACTGACTGAATCTGACCATAAGCCAGGCAGTCTTTGCTCTTCATGAATGAGCTGTCTGCAGCTGTCACCTCCATTTTGCAGAGGGGAACAGGGCAGTGTCCTTCCCACGGTCACATAGCCGCTGAACTAAGTTCAGTCTACTTCATGACTAGTGTCTGTATCACCCAGAACATTATCTGGAGCTGGGCCGGGCCAGGCGACCCGTGTGTACCAATCTCCCCCTTAATACAGACTCTGAAGACACAAGGCTGAAATGCAGTGTGATCCCTTCGCCCTAATTCACCCGGCTCTGCAAGGTTTACTGCCGAAGTAGAAGAACTATCTTCAAAAGGATGATGGAGACTTTCTAACCAAACGAAGGAAGGTAGCGGGGTGACCTCAGGGACATTTCCCATGTAACACAACTGCAAGCATAAGTTGATTGTAGTCTCAGAACTCTGATTCCAGCAGGGGGAGACAAGTTCACACTGATTTTCCTGGATGAAAAAATCCCCCAGGGAATCAGACACTCTCTGAGTGTGTGCATGTGTGCCTTTCCAGACAGGATGTGAAGAGAAATGCCGTCCAAAGCCATATTGCTGCTTTTGCATGTCCACACCCCCTGCAGACAGACAGCATAGTTCTTCCAGAAAAGGCGTGGTGGTCGCCAACAAATGGTGCTGCTGAAGTGATGTCACTGTGCATGGCTTCCTGTGTGGGGCCACTTGTCTAGCAGCCTGGTTTCTACCTTTTGAGCATGTTGTTGACCAGGACTGCTCGTCGAGGCCCCAAGTCTGCACGTGAGCAGCATGGGATGCGCCGATTCTGGCAGGCCTTCTCCAGCCTTTGACATTAGTGTGTCACCTCTAGATCAGCCTGGTCTGCCGAGCACGATGAGGAGCCGAGAGGACTCAGAAGGCTCGCACAGCCAATGGGGAGGCTGCAAGGATGACTTCCCTTCTTCCTGTGCAGCTCGATACAGTGACTACCAACGATGTCTAATTGACACTAAGAGCCGTTTCAGTCTCACGGAGCCCGAAGCTAAGTGATAATAGGCTGACACATACTCTCATTAGTCAGGCTTCACTTGTAAACACGATTGACCAAACCCTGGAAGCGCTTCAGTAAAGGTTGCCCTGTCCTCTGCCGGTCTTCCCTCCGGCGGGGCTTAGCCTGCAGAGCAGCCATCTCCTAGGGCTGAGGCAGTGGGGCGGGTGCCACCTGGGCACAGCAGCCGGTAGAGCAGTCTTCACCAGGGAGTCGAATTGCCTAAAAGCCCCGCCCCTGCCTCCCCTATCTCCCATGCCAACCGGCTTGCCCTTCAGACGCTGCCTGCCGAAACGTACGTGGTGCGTCAGGAGCCTGCTCTTCCCTCTTTGGCCTGAGAGCCAGGTTCTCCTATTTATCACTCCCCTGCTCACTTTTTGTCCGCCTGGTCAGGTTACAGGTCAGCGGGTTTTTGTTTGTTGGTTACTGTTGTTTTCTTTTTTAAGTGGGAAAAAAGGCTTGTGAATTACGTGTGTAGCCAGAGCAAAAGCCCTAGTGTGCTGGCGTCTGCCACCGGCCCAGGCCACGGTTTTTGTGACTTGAGCTGAACGAGGAAGCACATTTGCTACTATCTGTGGCTCCGAACCCGTTGGTGTTGAGACATTAGGAACTTGCTAGGACGCGATGGGTTCGGACGACACTTGGATTGTTTGTTAGGGGAGCAGGGCTCGGGAGGCTGGTTTCGGAGTCTGAGCGATTGTCCAGACAGTGAGTGGCGAGCGCTTCATTTAGAGCCCGCATTCTTCGTCATTCGCTGTGCAATACATTGGGGGTAGCTGGCTTCTTCTCTTCAATCAGACGTGCTTTGGATTCTTCGGGTGATTTTTTTTTTTTTCTTCTCGTTTTCCTTTTTTAATGTTAAGGGCCCCTTGGAAATTAGAAACTGCTGAGTTGATCTGATGCCGAAACTGCTCTCGGAAACCGGCACCTGTTTGCCTGTGCATCTCTCCTCCGTATCCCCTCTCCAAGTTCACACAGTGGTGGGAACAGAACCGAGCCACCAGCATGTCCGAGCCAACTTGAGTTTGTCACCCTGGGAGTGCATTCAAGCAGCATGACAGTAGAGTCTCTGCCATTGGGCAAGGATTGGCTGCCATTATGTGTGGCGAGAGCGGCAGGGCAGGGGAGATGGAGGGTCAAGGATACATTCTTCCATTGAAACTCTTTCCTTGCTGAAATAATTTCACACACATCTCCCCCCACCCCCCTTTGTTTTTTGAAATAGGAGGACACCATGGAGGTGGAAGAGTTCTTGAAAGAAGCTGCAGTGATGAAAGAGATCAAACACCCTAATCTAGTGCAGTTGCTCGGTAAGTGTGCAGCGCTCTGGAGAGACAGCCTTTTAATTAAACCCTCTGCGGTGATGCAGATGCTATTAAAGAAGCGATAAGCAGCTTACCACATTAAGATTGCTGATCTGGACATCTTTACCAGCATTCAGCCTCCAGTGAAAGGTCAGTGTGTGTGTGTGTGTGTGTGTGAGAGAGAGAGAGAGAGAGAGGGAGAGAGAGAGAGAGAGCGTGAGCGTCCTGGTGGCTCAGTGTCCAACTGCCAACTGCAAGGCTGGTGGTTTGAACCTATCAGTTGCTCCACAGGAGAGAGATGTGGCAGGTAGCAGTCGGCTTCATACAGATTTACCACCTCGGAAGCCCCATGAGGTAATC